CACTCATTCAACTAATACAATGTCAAAAAAAAGTATGCCAATTTACAAGAAGGCAATTCCTAGAATACTTCTCACACAAGTTCAAAAGTGAGGAACTGAAAAGTAAGAAGTCTTATGTTTTGCTTATTGTGATAGAACTTATTATAACTCTAGCACAAAAAGGATTGGAAGCCAGATACCTTCCCAGAAAGGTCAGCATATTATAAACTATTCCTGATTAAAATTAAAATTTTAAAATCAGTAGTGTACAAAACCGTGTATGTCATATATCCTTTCCCCAGTATTAAGTTACTTAAACTACTGAGAAGTACGATGCCAAAAATAAGTTATTTTATCCTCTGCACTTCAATGACATAAAGCACAAACTTTGTTAAATGAGTTCTACACTGAAGAGCATGAAGACAGCTGAATAGTTTTAATAGCAATATACCTCTACAGCTATACTTGTTTGCATGCCTAGAGCTCGGTCCATGACTAAAATTAAAGGATGACTAAGCCCAAGAGATGAGTCTTATGGACATGCAAACTAGAACAAAGGAAAAAGCTGAGAATGAAAATTTCTGTAGGAGAGAAATACACAGGAGATGAAGGCAATACATGCATAACCAGTTGGTTATTGGAAGTAGGCATATTCAAACTTTGTCAGAAAGATTCTGGAATTTTGTCACTAAGAAAAGGAATGGCCAAAAATGTTTGTCCAAAGACTGAGGTGGTGAGAACCTAGAAGATACCACATCCTTGTCTATCTTCTCAGAAGCAGAAGGATTAATCCTAGAAATACTACCTGAGATGTCTTATCTTGGATAGCGATATAGGGACCAACAGCTGAACTGCATCAAGTGTACATCTTGGTATATTTTTGAGTAAGACTTTTGGTAATGAGGCAGTTTTCAAACAAGAAAAAACCCATGCTGTTGGAACAGAAAGGAGGCAAAAAAGAGATTAATATTGAATAAAGTACCTTTGTGACCTGGTAAGGAGAAAAAGACATATATTACATAGAGAAGAAAGCATTTATGGTCTTCTGGATACCATTACTGATATATGAAGATAAATCTTTCTAGGAAGTTACTTAAAAGGAACTTTTGGAATGAGATCTTACAGTATGGCCTTTATCTATTCCAACAGTTGTTTGAAAAATGTACAAAAATCTTCATAAGTACATCAAGACACTTCTGTTTTACATTGAGAAACTTAAGACACTGTTATGTTGTAGGTGATATGTGGTATTCTGGAACAAAACTGGAGTGGCTTCTAATTCTAGTGACAACTTCAGTATTATAAGTCTCTGACAAATTCTTTTACCTATTTTTTACTAGATTAAAAAAAAAAAAGAACCCTAGTGTCACAGGAAAAATTCTGTTATTTGTGAAATGGGCTTGATATTGAGGTATGTAACTTATACTGTTAGTGGAGTAAGAGTACCGGAAAGGGCACTGCAGCTCCCAGAAGTGAAAGTTTTATATACTGTAGGAACATTCTTGAGAGAGTTATTAAATGTCAGGTTCTTAATTTCATAGGATTTCTGATTTGAATCAGATTGTGAAGAGCACTAAAATAAGAAATGCTCCAAATATGGCCCTTAAGAGTGTGTTGTCCATTGTTTAGTATAGCCTCTGGTTTTTACGCCTGGTTGAAATTCTTAACAATTTTGAAAAGTTGGTTGACCACATGTTAAATTGCTACATAGGTCCTAAATTGCTAACATTACTTTTTACTAGTGATTCCCTGTAGAAGCAAATAGGGAGGCAAAAAATGGAGAAAAAAGGTGCCTAGTGAGGATTATGTATTACAAGTGATAAATAATTCTGTATTTCTTCTTTTCTAGTAAATATGGTCAATAGAGTTTTTGGAGCTATTCAGCTTATCAGCCAGTAAGTGCAAGGATAATGTTTTTGGCATCCTGCTGCCACTCCTGAAGGCAGCAGATCTTTTGTAGGGCCTGTCTGTCAATCTGGTGTGGACATATCAAAACCCTTCAGTGGCTCAAATGGCTCAAATATGAGCAGCTGAATTGAGCCATAGGTATATGGTTTTGGAGGAGGCTCCATTGGCTTTATTGTCTATATCTCAATTGACTGAAATAGGAGACACTGACCTCCAAGGTGGGCCTCTTCATTTGGCATCCTAGATACAGTTATCTGAAGTTTCATCTCTAGCTCATGTGTCAAAACTGCGTTTAGATTACTTAGATTCAGAAGTGTTGATTTTCAAGTGAACCCTGCACAGTTGCCTCCTCATACTTAATTTTCACAAGGCAAAGTCACTCAGATTTTACTTATTTGTTTTTCTGAAGACAATGAGCTTAATTACAATACAAGCCAACATGAAGTTCTCTAGAGATACCTTTAATTAAGTGAAATTGAGTTTGTCCTGGGAGTGGACAGTTTTTAGGAAAAATACTGGACTGTGGACAGTATCCTAGGTGATTTCTATTGCCAGGATTGTAACACAATAAATTCTGTTTCTTTGCTGTGTAATGCACAAAAGTGGCATTTTGCAGAAGTTACAAAATAGTTATCGTCATCCGAGTTATCTACTGAACATGTTTTTCACGTTTCCCTTTTTGAAAAATTTTTAGGTGAAGTCTGAAGTTAATACTTTACCACAGACAAAATCCATCTTTTCTACACATAATCTCTATTATGAAAGACAGCTTATATTGATATTCCAGCACCATTAGTTTATCACTATGACTTTTTAGAGCTACAGAGTATTTAAATTCACTGTTAGTAGCATTTCCATTTATCCTAGTTTTGATAAAGACAAAAAATTGCTATAGACTGTATTATTGATTGTGGAATTATGAAGCAAGGATATAAAAAAAAATTAGGTATTAAATTAATTTATTTTCCATTTCTGCACAGTTCAATCACATGTTTTTTTAGGGTTAAAGGGTACTTTGCAAATGAATTGATAAAGCCAGTATATATCGTTTTCTCATAGAGTTTGTCCGCTGTGTTGTATTTTATGTGAATAAAACTCATTATCTGTTTTGTTTGTGCTGTAATTATATTTTGTTGTCCTGTGGATTCCTTTTGCTCTCTCTGTCTCATAATATGTGCTGTAAAAGCACACATAAATAAATAGGATAAACAAATTAAGCTGTTTAAATAAATTAATTTACTCTGCAGCTCTGTATTCAAATCTTATGTGCTCACTGGATTTCATTTTAATGAAACCCTTCTAAGAACAATACATTGTATGCCAAACAGTGAAATTATATATTAAATGAATGATTAAATATAGCGTGTTCCAATTTATACCAAATCTGTATGCTATGCATGCTTAAATCCTCCTAAATCTAAAGAAATAAATCTTCTACATTCTGAAAACATCTCCATTATAATCCTCCTCTTGAATACTCCGTTCATGGGCAAATAAACACAATCAAAGTCATAATAAGCCTAGAGCTATGATGCAGTTAAACTACCCTCATCAATGTTTTTGACTTAAAAACCCGAGACTATTAAAGTGGAACCCACTTAAATGTCTTGAAACACTGCTCTGAGAGGTCTTCTCCCGCTCCATCAATAGGCCCATTGAATCCTTTTGGAATCAGAATCTCAAGATTAGCAAATATTTATTATAAAGCTTACCTGGAACAAATTATTGATTACTATAGATGGTCATGTTGCTAAGTTTCGTAGGCATGCATTCAGCAAAACAAATATTCACCTAGCTACTGTGCATGAAAAATAATGCCTGCTGCAAAAACAAGCTTGTGGTATGAGGAACACAATGCTCTTTTCAGGAAAACTTTCAGGCATTTGCAGCAGCAAGGTTTCATATGTGTTATTAAACACATACTGATTGTATTATCTCATTACCAAAAGCTGTCAGTGAGTTAAGTGTATGCAGTTGTTTGCTTGGTTGTTGTTTTTGGTTTAGGTTCATTCTTTTCATATGGTGTCAGGATTTCAATTTTCAAAAGGAAAAAAAAGACCCAACAACCAAAAAAACACCTAGTTTAACTTTTCCAGTCCGTCCAATAGATTGCCATTACAGGAACTATTTACTGTTATCACTGTTTGATGAAACCAACCTAACTCACACATATTTTAGCAATGACATAAAGACTTGTGAGCTATTAGCAGCAAAAAGAAAACTGCAGGGAAAGACAGAGAATTTTCTAGAAAGGACTATTCTGCACTCAGCTCTCTTTGTTTATAGTTTCTGTCAAAGTTCTGTGTAAGTATTAGATACATTTATCTGCTACATATTGATGGCTCTCACATAGCAGAAGTGCAGTTCAGACTGTAACAGTCCTCATGCTCAAATGTTGAAAGCCAAGAAACATCTTGAAGTGCATTGTAGCTCCTCCTGCCTACCATGCCAGGCTTCCCCCTGGACAGACAAACATGAATGGATCTTTTTCCCTGTTTTTAAGTAGTGATGTGGCCAATGATGAAAAACACACTTCCAAAAAATGTAGTTCATTTAGGTTTGTGCTTCATAGTGTAAACAGATATTTGGACTTTCGTCACCCATGTTACAGGTATAGGTTCAGTAGGAAAATTTTATTTTCTTCATGATCTCTAGCAGTTCTGTAGGAGCTCATTGTTGAAGAAGCCCCTTTGAAATTAAGATATGGAGTAAAATTCAGCATAGGCTAAAACAGCAGTGTCTGGTCCTTATTTGCAAAAGTACAGTAAGTCAGAATGTATATTTCCAATTCAACAGCATGCTGATAGAAGTGGGGGGAGGGGGGGGGGAACAACTAAAAAAAACTCCAAAAGCTTATTTTTATTAGGAGTCCAGAAGGCAATTTAAAAGCCTGACAGGATGAGCAGCACTCAAATTTCATACTAAAATGTAAGTTCTAGTATCCTAAAATTGCTGTTTCATTTGAGCATACTCTGCAAATACTGGACACCTCAATAGAGGAAAAAATAGGTTGTAATTTCGGCGGGCTATACAGTTTAGGGAAGTGACGTTTGGAAACAGATATTTAGTTTAACGTTGTCTCTTTTCACAATTATTTTTTTCACGGGGTGTAGGAACGTGTTCCAGACAGCCCTTCTCCTGCTCCTTCCCTTGAAGAGGGCCGAAGACCTGGCAGCCATCCATCCTCTCATCGTAGCAGCAGTGTGTCCAGCTCTCCTGCACGGACCGAGAGCTCTTCAGACAGAATCCGTAGGTCACATTCTTCTCCTTGTCACCACTTTAAATTTGATTAGGTGCAGCTGGTTTTTCTAATCAAAATGTCCTCATCTTAAATAGATCTCATATGTATCATGTTCGGAAGTTCAGCTGCAATAACTATCTCCCGACATTATGTTCCCCAGTTTACAGTATCATAATATCTGATGCTACATTAACGGGTACTGATATAAACTGCCATCATGTCATATTAAACATAAAGATATGAGCTATGAAATAACAGAATTGCAGGCGGGAAGCAATTTGCTAGATTAGTTTTAGAACTGAACATATAGTGTAAACATTTTTAAAAGAAATTGAGTTTTATTTAATCTGGTTACTCTGGTTTGATTTCTAAATTGAATCTGACTTCATAAGTAACATTTTACATGGTAGAATTGCTTGGTAAAGAGAAGAATTAGGTTAAATCAATTATAAAATATGCATACTTTATACATTTTTTAAATATAAAAAATTGTGATGGTGAGAAAGATGATACAGAGAGTATTATCACATCATAGCTCACAAGGGGTAGAGTGAAGTTAAACCATGGTGTCTCAGAGTGATACCATTGTTATCAAAGCTCCATGTACAGGATGTACACGACATGGGAAAGACTTGGGATTCTATGATATTCCAGTGCAACAGCCTGGAAATTAAGGTTTTAAACAAATATTGTTTAATAGATATTAACTTAAACTCTTATTACACTTGTCCGTTCCTTTTATTATTGTTCCGTTGCGGATTTTTGTGCTTTTAAGGCATTTTTCCAGGGTGAAATTTGTCAGTAGGTGAACCTGGAGGATTTGGCACACAAATTGAAGGCCGTGAAATAATATGAAATATGTAGTTGTGTTGATTAGATATAGAAACGTGTCTTTTAGACTGCTTCCTTTCAGGCTCTCCGCAGACTCAGGAAGCTGACTCTTCATTGACCTTCAGATGAAAGATCTTTCATTGCTATGTGATGAAAAATGACTTAACAAAGAAAATAAATGAAGCCTGACCATGACTAGCTGAAAATTCTGTTTTCTTACCACTTGGACGATTCAAGAATGCAGATTAAACTGGCAATCCATATACTTTTCATTACTAAAGTTCCGCAAAAAAACCCAAACCCTTGGATTTTATTTTTTTTAATTGATTGAATATTATAATTTTTTACAACTATTGAGGACTTTTTCCATTGTTCTCTAAATAAAAACAAATAAATTGATACTTTTTTTTTTTTTAAGAAATAGTACTGTTCAGCTTACACTGCTTACTTACCAGGAGAGAGGAGTGCACATTTTTCTTCCAGTGTAAATATAGCAGAGTTCCTTAAATACTGGATCACTTCAGTAACTTCTTTATTTATAAAATAGCTCTTTTCTCTCCTAACTGATTTGTTAACATCACACCTGATTCTGAAGTACATCTGCTTTTGTGGTCCCAGGAAGAGTAAGACGACTACTACAGAAATGTGGGTTACATATGAAAGAATGCTTTACTGAAAATGGCATAAGACTCTTGCAAATACAGTTTTTCAGGTTAAAAGCATAGGGGTTTAAACACCTTATATGGGTTTCTGAGATATGTTTGAGAATTAGGGCAGTCTGAGAACTATTGGAAGCAGCTTTTCAAGCTATATGATGGGCTATATGAAAAACAGTGTTTATCACCTGGAAGGCCACAATGCTTTATTTAAGGAAGTTAAGGACTGCATATTTAGAATGCTAATATACAAGAGTTTTGCACGAATAAAAATAATTTTTAAAAGTCAGTAAATATCTCACATAGAACCTTCTGTTCTTTTCTGGATTGCTTCATTTTGCGTTTCAGTTCTTGTTAAATAAACAAGGAAGTGTTTGTAAATATCCAACTTTGTCCAAAGATACTGACGTTTTCTTTTTAAAATGAATTGTTTTAAACCAGAAGTGACAGGAAGAATGTCTCCTGCTGTGTGGATACTGATAGCACTAACTAAGTAACTTTGTAATTGTTAGAATTCTTGTGTAATTAAGAGGAAGACTATGCAAACTAAGTACAAAAGTGTATTGTTAATATGACGGCTGATTTTCTTTCTGCCTCCACTTGTGTCTGGCAGCTGTCCATCAGAATGGGCTATCTATGAACCAAATGCTGATGGGTTTGTCGCCTAATGTCCTGCCTGGACCTAAGGAGGGTGATCTGGCTGGTCATGACGTGGGACATGAGACAAAAAGAATGCACATTGAGAAAGGTAATATGGATATTGTGATTCTACTTTTTCAGTGTAAAACAAGTATTGTCTCAACAGCTAAATAGTATTATATTTGTGATTTTTTTTATTAAGATTTTTTGTTTGTTTTCCCAAATTAAATTATAACAGGTTGATAGCTTTCTTGATTCTTCTACTTTGTGATCATTGAGATTAGTAAGCAATATTTATATGAGGGAGGAATTTAATAAATATTACAAAGAAGGATAAGTGAGGAACAGCTTTACATTACTATTGTGTCTCTGACCCTTCTACAACACTGTTTAGGTATTAAGTTTCTGTCTCCATCCAGTTGACTTTAATGACCTACTTCCCAAAGGGACTGAGCACCGTGAAAATTAGTCCATGTGTGCAAAAAGGAAAAAGGCTAATACCAAGCCATTAAATTAGGGAATTGCATAAAATGAGGCTGGTACACATTATATAATGGGATTTAAATTTAATTGAGTATATAACCAAAGTGTTTGATCTAGGTGAATAGTCCACATGCACTTATGCTGATTATGGCACCATTTCATCTCTGCTGGTATTCAAAGTTAAGTTCCTGTTCAGAGTTGTTACAGAGGATTTTGGAGGGCGGGTGGTGGAATTTCAAAAGGTGCATTTCATATTATGTTTACTTAATGTATGTGAATTTTAAGTATTGTAGACTAGAAACATATTAGGGAGAGAGAGGTTGGAAATATGACATATCCTTTGAAAAAAAAGTTCTTTTTTATCAGAAAAATCAGTTCTTTGAGCACAATGAAAGGAAAAGTAAATCTACAATAGCCAGACATTGAAACAGAGCTGGAGAAACTGCTGCAGTAATGAAGATTTCAGAATAAGACATTTTGTGCCATATTTTAATAGCTATAAGATGATACCTTCTCTGTCTTGTGTTTGAGCACTGAGATATGAAAAAGAATTAAAATCTGGACAATTCTATTCTGGACAGGTGGCATTTTTAATAGGATTACCAGAAAAATTAATGGAAACAACATTTCTTTTATATAAACCATTTAGTTTGGTTCATTGCACACACAACCTGTTTTAGCTTAAACTTACCCTCACTCAGCCCCTGCAAATTGTATCCCTGCTGTGAAGTATGATGTGATCAAATAGGTTTGTTTTGAATTTCCATAGATGATTTTATTTCAGCCTTTGAAGTTACTCATTTAAGTGTAATCAGACTGGTAAATCCTGCAAAGAGAAGTACATGTTAAGATTTGCTACTATTTTTGCTTGTTATTCCGTTTTTTTAAAGGCTTTTTTTTATAGTGGTACCCCAAATGTACTTCCCCGTCTGTTGCCAGTTCACATTTTTGCAAAATCTGTTCTCAGTAAAACTGCTGATAATTCTCTTTTTTCTTCAGTCCTTGTTTAGGTCAAACCCTCTATTTTTTGTTCTTTTTTTCCCCTCTGTTCCAGCCTACTGAATTAATGGTAAATATTCATGGGCTATCTAGATTGATAGGGTATACTAAATTAAAAATTGTTTTCTGTCATGACTGCATTTATCATGTCTCTCATACCAATCTTATAACTTTAATACTAATCTAATCTGTATTAAAACAAGTGATTTAAACAATAGATATTTGTGGAGATAGTAATTACTGACTTCTGTGACTGTGAGCTTGCAATCAGATTTCCAAACTGTTGCTTACCGCTGCAAATCAGTCAGGATGCAACCATATTTCAAAATGCAAGCAAACATATGTAGGTGATGGCACTCTTACTGTTGTCACCCCGTCACTCTAATCATCTGATTCAAAAGAGAAAGAGAGGAAAACTGAAGTTCTGCATAAGTATAATGAAGCATTTAAACATTATTTTCTTCCAAGCCACTTTTGTTGGCAGAAATCTATCAGCTGCTACTAAAATGGCTTTTAATTGAACCTGGGGGAACCTGGGAAATCCTGCCTGGTGAAGAACGTCTTATCTTTTCTTTTCTTGACTCCTCTTCCATTAAAAAAAAATGAAAAGACCAAAACTCTTTGAAGTGATCTGCAATCAGGGAAAATTTATTTGCTCTCTATAGAGAATTTAAAGAGGGAACAAATTTTGAACAGAGGCAACTGATCAACATACCAAATTTTGAAAAGACTTAGTATATGTCAGAGGGGTGAATCATTTGTCTGACCTGATCTATCAGTTGGATACAGGAGAGGAAATACCATTTATCTATTATAAGCATAAAACAAAGGAGCTAATTTACCCTTTCCATGCAACATAGTGTAGTATGTTTAGAAACAGTTCTTTGGCACTTGCAAACTGAGTAACAGTTTGGGGGTATTCAGTCTTTCGAAAATCATACATATTTCTATTCAAAATTCAGCCAGAATTTTTATTAGCATCAAAAATGAATTTATTTTACTGAGTTGGTTTAAACTACCAGTAAATCTCTTGTGCAGTTTTTGGATTGTTTTGTTTTTTGTTTTTTTTTAATTTGCCCTTAGACTGTCTTCAAAATCTGTTCTCAGATTCTAGTGTGCGCAGCCTTGAGTGACCTCAGCTTCTATTGGAGTCAGGTTGTCATTATCCCACCAAAAATCAGATTAGGTTCTATGAATCTGATTCGCTGCCTATTAAAACTGGAACAGTTGCATCAGGATCTCAGTCAATATTTGTTGCAGGAAAACAGGAAGAGTTTCTGTTCTCAAAGACTATGTGTAAGCTGTGGGTGTTGGGAACATTTTCCAGCTGCTGACTCCAGATGTGGAACTTGGCCACATGTTAGGATGAGATGTTCAGGAAAGACCCAGTGTACACATCTGAAGTTCCACCCACTCACTGGGTTCCATGAGAAGAAAACTTAGGTTTCCTAAGGGTTATGCTGTGGTCCAGACAGTTTCCTAGTCTGGACTAAGAGGGACTGCGGGAGACACTGCAGAGCACTTCTGTCCAGCAGTTCATACGTAACGCAAGATGTCATTATCTGTATAACCAGAGAAGTACATTATACTAGATTTCCAGGATTTTTTCCTTATTAGAAGATAGCAGATTTTCCAAATTTACTGAAAGCAAGCAGTAGAACTGCAGATGATCCTGAGAAGGAGAAGGTAAGTTCAAGTACACAATGTTAGTTCAAGTACTTGACAACAATCATCAAAACCAAGTATATAATTTTGTAACCTGTAATTATGAAATATTTGATGAAGCATATTTGTTTTAATTAGATTGCACAAATAAGACTTACAGGAAGCATAGGAATCATTAGAAAAAATCCATTCCATCTTTTACCTTAAACTTAAGCCTCTGAGTCTTTTCAGGTACAGTAAAGTTTTGGTCTGAAGTGTTTAAAAAAAAGATCTCAGAATAATCCATGGCTTGAAAGTGAAACACACACACACACACACACACACACACACACACTCACTCACTCTGCTCCATGAAGGTGTGGATCCTAATTCCTTGCAGGCAGAAGAGAGAATCTAATTTGCAACACATTTCCTGGGCCATATCCCTAATGACTGTGCTTTGTGTAGAAGACTGAAGTATATTTTAGCATCCTCCCTTTGACCCAGACCCTGGCCATACAGTCTGCAAGGTGGAATTTGTAGCTCAGTCCTATTCCCAGAGTTTCTCTATTTACTGGCTCCAGATAGCTGCATATTATTTTGTGTTCACTGTAGACAGACTACAGGTCTACTTGTTGACTCCATTAGATCTCAGTTTCAAGTATCTGGCTTGGTTAATGTTAAGTGATGTTCACAGAATCACAGAATCACAGA